TGGGCACTGCTAAACCCAGGTGTTCTGTTGAATTGTCCTTTACTGGATTTTAAAGTGGTGTTTCTTATTAGCTTCTCATTAAAACTCCCCCTCGAGCCGGGCGCCGTGGCTCACACCTGTAATCCCAACACTTTGGGAGGCTGAGGCAGGCGGATCATCTGAGGTCAGGAGTTCGAGACCAGCCTGACCAATATGGTGAGACTCCCTCTTTTAAAAATAAATACATACATAAAAATTTAAAAATCCTTGATTGTAGCAGGCCTCTTACCTGTAAAGCATTCAGACACCAACTTCTCTCCCATTTGCAACTGACCTCACTTTTTAAAGAAGAAACTTCGCAGCACAAGACAGTATCGGATTTTTTTTAACCGTAGGTGTCTTTTTGCCTGCTTGTTCGTCGTTCATGTGGTTGTGCTGGTTCGTTAGGCGTCGAAACACGGCCAGGAAGTGAATCCTGTTTTTTAGTGGTGCTTTCAGCAAGACTTGCTTTACCTGGCACGGCTTAGTGCTGACAATTAGCACAGAAATTTTAAAACAGACTGGTGCACAGCATAGAGCGTTTTTTTCTTACATGTCTGTAATGGCATTTAGGTAGAATTGTTTTTTTCTCGATGTGTGTAATGGCATTTGGGTAGAATTGTAATCGTTGAGAATTCATATCAGATGGAAACTGCTAAAATGGTAACCCGTGCTGGCGAAAGAAAAAAGCCCGGGGAAGTGAGGCAGAAGTCTCCCGCTAAGCAGAATGTTTTTGCAGGTACAGGGCCAGGCTGGAGAGGGGGCCGATTCTGGAGCAAGTGGTCTGAGACAGGTGGAGCAAGAGCTAGAGGGACAGGTGGCGTCAGCAGGGGCAGGAGCCACCGCTGGGTGTGGCTGGTGCAGGCCCCCACGTGCCTACCACGTCCTTATAGAAAATGTGGAAGATACATGTAGAAAACTAGAAGACCTGGTAATCCCACCTCAGAATCATTGCTGTTCACGTTTCACATACTTGCTTCAGGCTTTTCTTCTCTGCCTTTACTACACAACGGATTCTGTTGAGCATTATTGTGTGACCCATATGTCTTTCTTTCTTTCTTTCTTTCTTTTTTTTTTTTTTTTTTTTTTTTGAGATACTTTGTAGTCACTATATTAAGGAAACATTCATACATTTCAGGAACTGTTTAAATTCTGATATCCAAGGCCGGGCGCAGTGGCTCACGCCTGTAATCCCAGCACTTTGGGAGGCCGAGGCGGGTGGATCACGAGGTCAAGAGATCGAGACCATCCTGGTCAACATGGTGAAACCCCGTCTCTACTAAAAGTACTAAAAATCAGCTGGGCATGGTGGCACATGCCTGTAGTCCCAGCTACTCAGGAGGCTGAGGCAGGAGAATTGCTTGAACCCAGGAGGCGGAGGTTGCGGTGAGCCGAGATCGCGCCATTGCACTCCAGCCTGGCTAACGGGCGAAACCCCGTCTCAAAAAAAAAAAAAAAAAAAAAAAAAAATTCTGATATCCAGATTTAAGCATGTGAACATGTGAGAGTTTGAAACTTACAGTCAAAGCTATTCATAATTTGCTGGACCACCAACCTTAAATTCCCGTTACGTTGGGGCGTAAGTCAGATGGTTTGAACTGTGAGCCGGTGACAGACCTAAGGAATACCTTCCCGTAATGTACGTTACTTCTTCATGTAAAGGTCCTTGATTTTCTATGTCACTTGTCTCTGGAAGTCACTACTCAGGCGCTGATGGTCCAAAGAGAAGGAAGGGGACAGGTCACCAGGATTGGTCAAGTGACGTAGATGGCGGGGCTATGTACACACATGTGTACACACAGATATATACGCATTTCTCTTTGTGTGTGCATAGACATACATGCATATACGCACGTGTGTGTATATAGATGACACAGCAGGAGGGAACACAGTTCTAAAAGTGCAAGTCCTCCGGAAGCACCATCTTCTGATAAATCCCTTCTTTAGAAAGGCATTGATACGATCTGGCTCTGTGTTCGAACCCAAAGCTCACCTACAGTCATAATCCCCACGTGTGAGGGCAGGGCCTGCCGGGCGGTGCCGAGTCAAGGGCTGGGCATCCCCCTTGCTGTTCTCATGAGACTGTGTCAGTTCTCAGGAGATCTGGCTGTTGTGACGTGCGTGGCACGTCCCCGTTCGTGCGTGCACACTCGCGCTGGCTGGCTGTGTCTCCCATCTCTCCTGCTTCGCTGTGGTTAGAGGTGCTGGGGCTCCTGGCCGTGCTTTCTCTACAGCCGGTGGAATTGTTGAGTCAAACCGCTTTTCTCCATGAATCCCAGTCTCCGGTAGTTCTTGATAGCAGTGTGAGAATGGAAGAATACAGGTATCATTTCTATCACCGATACCACAGGTTACGTTCTATATTATGCCATCTTCAAGTGACACTGGAGGTCACAGAATAAATGCAGAAGCATCACAGCGCATGCCGCTTAATGCAAATAACTATATAGACCACCACTTCTCTACGAATTTAGCTTGGGTTTTCTTCTGATAGCCAGTTAAATACAGCTTTAATTTTGTAGGTTAATGGTGACGGTTCATATACTGAAGTTAATACATACACCCAGCATGGCTTTTCAGTCTCAACCTGTCCATGTACGCAGCTGAAATCAGTTACAAGGCGTGGCCTGAAATTTACAGGCATTAAATTTTGTCTTGTACACCGACGTCATCATACATACAGGGCAAAGTCAGAGCTTTTATAATTGCCTTTATTCTTCCATTTACCTAACACTTACGTAGTTGAACATTTAAAACAATTCGCCGGGTGTGGTGGCTCACGCCTATAATCCCAGCACTTTGGGAGGCTGAGGCAGGCAGATCACGAGGTCAGGAGATGAAGACCATCCGGGCCAACATGGTGAAACCCCATCTCTACTGAAAATACTAAAAAAAAATTAGCTGGGTGTGGTGGCGGACGCCTGTAGTCCCAGCTACTCAGGAGGCTGAGGCAGGAGAATTGCTCGAACCCGGGAGGCGGAGATTGCGGTGAGCCCAGGTGACGCCATTGTACTCCAGCCTGGGCGACAGTGTGAGACTCCCTCTCAAAACAAAACAAAACCAAAAAAAACAATTAGAAGCAGTGAGCCTGCTCTGGTTACAGGCCTTCCCTCAGTCACCGTTGCAGATGAAATGCCAGCCGTGAGTGTTACTCACTGGCCCCAGATCTAAGAGGTTTGACGCTGACCACCACCTAGTGGGAGATGGTGTTGGTCATTCTCACATGCTTCTCCATTAATGGGGCCGTCTGTCCCGATTGGCCTGAAAGCCCACCAGTTCTTCCCGAACCATCCCATCCGTCACTTCTGCTTCCTCCCTCCCAGGTAGGACTTTTTCCAGCAAACAGTTTATCAAAAGAGAGAGCCATTCTGAGGACTATTTCCTTACAGTCAGTGATTAGGCAACCCTTTGCATACGGTCTGCAGTAAATTGCCGTGCCTTCATTTACACACACTGAGGGTCTCCGTACTTGACGCTGTGACCTGGATGAGAGGTGGCAGTAGCTTTTGGGAGTCACACAGTGCTCCAGCCAGCCGGCTCTCTGTACCCAGGAAGACGTCTTCTCCCTGTTGAGTAAACAGAGCACGGTCTTTCTGTTCCACCAGTGAGAGTTCCTGGCTCCAGTCCAGCTTCTTTCTTAACTTTTCTTTTTTTTTTTTGGAGACAGTTTCGCTCTCGTTACCCAGGCTGGAGTGCAATGGCGCGATCTCAGCTCACCGCAACCTCCGCCTCCTGGGTTCAAGCAATTCTCCTGCCTCAGCCTCCTGAGTAGCTGGGATTACAGGCACGCGCCACCACGCCCAGCTAATTTTGTGTATTTTTGGTAGAGACGGGGTTTCACCATGTTGACCAGGATGGTCTCGATCTCTTGACCTCGTGATCCACCCGCCTCGGCCTCGCAAAGTGCTGGGATTACAGGCGTGAGCCACCGCGCCCGGCCGTAGCATTGTAAACCTTTCATAAATTATGATCGTAATAGTCCCGTTTTCCTTTGCTTGCCTTACCTTTTTCTTTTTTAGATTTCTTAAGTAATCACATCGCCAGCAATTACTTGAAATCTTTGTTAATGTTTGAATTGAAAATCTCGTGGAAAGGCTAGCCAATGTTTGGGTAGTTGATGAATCTCTCCTTCATCTCTGTTCTGCACCTGAAATCAAAACAGCGGCCCTGCCCATCAGAACCCCTATTTTATTCATTGTTTTACTTGTAAAGCATAAAAGTTAAGAGTTTTAATTCATGCACATTATTGAAATGAAGAAGCCGTGTTCTGGGCTGAGCACAGTGGCTCACACCTGTATGGGAGGCTCAGGTCAGAAGTTTGAGACCAGCCTGATCAACATGGCGAAGGCCCATCTCTACTAAAAATCCAAAAATTTAGCTAGGCGTGATAGCAGGTACCTGTAATCCCAGTTACTCGGGAGGCTAGGGCAGGAGAATCGCTTGAACCCAGGAGGGGGAGGTTTCAGTAAGCCAGGATTGCACCACTGCACTCTAGCCTGGGTGACAGAGCAAGACTCTGTCTGCCTCAAAAGAAAAAAAAAAAAGGTTGGTGGGGACTGTGTTCTCTCAAGTGACTGTCTTTCATCCTAGTAAACTTAGATAAGGTGCTTTTTAAAAGTTCGCTTTATCAAATATTAACTCTAAAAAAAATGGCTTATCTCTGAACTGCTCCAATTTCTTTTCTCCCCAGTAAATTATCCATAAGATGATCACCTAAATACCACAAGGAATATAAATCGTAGGACACAAAACTTTTACCTTGTTTTGAAACTCCCTTATTTTAAAACGTTTGTATGTATCCCAACACGTGTTCTCCAGATAACAAAATCAGCTTGTTGTGATATAAAGCCCCTAGCTAACAGTAGATAGCTGATACTAGTTGTTGAATATATTGTATTCGGTGAGTTGAATCTTCACCGAGACCAAAGAGCTGGTCGTGCGCGGTTGTATACTGACAGGGTGTGCTCATTGGCTCCTCGTAGGAGACTCCTGTGCTGACCAGAATAGAAAAACAGAAGCGCAAAGAGGAGGAGGAGGAGCGTCAGATTCTTCTAGCCGTGCAGAAGAAGGAACAGGAGCAGATGCTGAAGGAAGAGAGGAAACGCGAGTTGGAGGAGAAGGTCAAGGCAGTGGAAGGTACGGTCTGGAGAGGGGCGCGTCTGTGGGCCAGCCACCTGTAGCCAAAGCCAGGTCAAGCTAAGTCCACCGTGCATCTGAGACGCTTCCAGCAGTTTCTATTTAAATATGTGGTGTGTTGTATTCTGACATGTTCATTCACCTACATCCACCCCCACTGCCTTTACATTCCTTCTGAAGCTCTCGTATTGGTCATTCTTAGTGTGTCTTTCAGAATCTGGCTTCTTATTCTGATCTCTGTGTTCCACACGTGAAATAGAAAAAAAAAAATTAAGGTATTGATGAGAGCTGATTTGACGGACATAATTTCGAACGCAAACGAGGTATGTTTAAGAAAAGTCATAGTTTTTTGTTTATTTTTAGATACAGCCTGATTCACATCTAGAACGTTACAAATGATAGGATTAGGATAAAGTTTTCTCGGGTCCAGGTCTTGGCCTGATGAGGCTTTTTTTTCTGTTTTTAGTCCTGCAAGCCAAGGATGATAGCTGTCTTTAGATGTGTTCTTTCTTTTGTTTTTTTGTTTTGTTTTGTTTTGTTTTTTATTTTTGGAGACAGAGTCTTGCTCTGTCCCCCAGGCTGGAGCACAGTGGCATAAACTCGGCTCACTGCAACCTCTGCCTCCTGAGTTGAAGAGATTCTCCCACCTCAGCCTCCCGAGTAGCTGGGATTACAGGCACATGTCACCACGCCCAGTTAATTTTTTATATTTTGGTGGAGATGGGGTTTCACCATATTGCCCAGGCTGGTCTGGAACTCCTGACCTCATGATCCGCCCACCTCAGCCTCCAGAAGTGCTGGGATTACAGATGTGAGCCACTGCACCCGGCCTGTCTTTAGATGTTTTCTTAGATAACAATTGTATTTATAAGCTCAACCTGATAAGTCATATAATAATAAATCATTTGGTCTAGTTTAACATAGGCCAGGGTTTACCATTTCAATAAGTGTATTGAGTGTTTGACATTTTTTAATAAAACAGCATAGCAAATTTTTTAATAAAACAACATAGTGTATTGATTTGGCTTTTTGAATGTAACATTTTGCAGGACAAAATTTTGGCTAGGAAAATTGAAAGATTCTGGCCTTACGTACCTATTAAGTAACATAAAGTTACTTAAGCTATTATATGCACCTCATTCCTACCAATATCTTTTTTGTTTGTTTGTTTTGTTTCGTTTTGTTTTGTTTGAGAGAGAGAGTCTCGCTCTGTCCCCCAGGCTGGAGCGCAGTGGTGCGATCTTGGTTCACCATACCCTCTGCCTCCCAGGTTCAAGTGATTCTCCTGCCTCAGCCTCCTGAGTAGCTGGGTCTACAGGCATTCCACCATGCCCAACTAATGTTTATATTTTTAGTAGAAACAGTGTATCGCCACATTGGCCAGACTGGTCTTAAACTCCTGACCTCAAGTGATCTGGCTGCCTCAGCCTCCCAAAGTGTTAGGATTACAGACATGAGCCACCACACTGGACCACACCAAGAGTTTTAGAATTAATAAAGAAATGATGATTGGGCGTGGTGGCTCATGCCTGTAATCCCAGCACTTTGGGAGGCCGAGGTAGCCGGGTCACTTGAGGTCAGGAGTTTGAGACCAACATGGCCCGTTGTGGTGGTGCACGCCTGTAATCTCAGCTACTCTGGAAGCTGAGGCAGGAGAATTGCTTGAACTCCAGAGGCAGAGGCTGCAGTGAGCCGAGATCGCACCAGTGCACTCCAGTCTGGGTGACAGAGCAAGACTCCGTCGCAATAAAAAATAATAATAAAATAAATCCCTTAGTGCATATAATCTACAGGTTTAGCCTGTATCATACTGTGTAGTGTATCTCACTTTTAAGATCTTCCATACTTGGCAATTTCCAATGCTACAGTTAAATTTCTCTAGACATAATAACTGGCTTTTGTTTATATTTTTTAGTGAGATTGTGGGTTTTTAAAAATAGGATTCTTACTGGGTACACTTGACATTTTAATTTATATAGGCATGTCTAAAACCCATTTTTATGGCTTAGTTTTCATATTGTAAGATTAATAATACCTATATTGTAGTCCCCTATACAGTAGTCATAAATAAAATAAAATCCTAGGAATTAATCAAAGAAGTGAAAGATCTCGACAATGAAAACTGTAAAACATGGATGAAAGAAATTCAAAAGAACCACAAAACATGGAAAACTTTCTACATTTGTGGATTATAAGACTCAGTATTGTTGGCCGGGCGCGGTGGCTCACGCCTGTAATCCCAGCACTTTGGGAGGCTGAGACGGGCGGATCATGAAGTCAAGAGATCGAGACTATCCTGGCCAACGTGGTGAAACCCCATCTGTACTTAAAAAATACAAAAACTAGCTGGGCATGGTGGCGTGTGCCTGTAATCCCAGCTACTCGGGAGGCTAAGGCAGGAGAATTGCTTGAACCCGGGAGGCAGACGTTGCAGCGAGCCGAGATCGCGCCACTGCACTCCAGCCTGGCAGAGCGAGACTCTGTCTCGAAAAGAAAAAAAAAAAATCAGTATTGTTAAAATGTCCGTACTGCTCAAAGCAATTGAGACACTCAGTGCAGTCTCTACCAAAATACCAACGACATTCTTCACAGAGTTAGAAAAAAAAAAAAAAAAAAGTCCTAAAATGTTTATGGAACCACCAAAGACCCAGAATAGGCAAAGCTCTCCTAACCAAAAAGAACAAAACTGGAGGATTTAACGTGACTTCAAATTATACTGCAGAGCTGTGATGATCAACACCGCATGTAACTGGCACAAAAACAAACACAGAGACACATGGAACAGAAGAGAGGCCCCAGGAACAAGTCCAAACACCTGCAGCGACCTCATTTTTGACACAGGTGCCAAGAATATACACTGGAGAAAAGACGTCTCTTCTACAGATGGTGCTAGAGAAACTTGATATCCATACGTACAAGAAGAAAACTAGACCGCTATCTCCTGCCATATACAAAAATAAAATCAAAGTGGATTAAAGACTTACATCTAAGACCTCAAGTGATGAAACTCCTACAAGAAAAGACTTGGGGCCAGGTATGGTGGCTCACGCTTGTAATCTAAGCACTTTGGAGGCCAAAGCGGGCAGATCACCTGAGGTCGGGAGTTCAAGACCAGCCTGACCAACATGGTGAAACCCCGTCTTTAAAAAAAAAAAAAAGAAAGAAAGAAGAAAAAGAAAAAACTTGGAGAAACCCTCCAGGACATTGTTCTGGGCAGAGATTTCTTGAGCAATACCCCACAAGCATAGACACCCAAAGCAAAAATGGACAAGTGGGATCACATCAGGTTAAAAAGCTTCCGTACAGCAAAGACAGTCAGCAGAGGGAAGAGACAACCCACAGAATGGGAGAAAACATTTGCAAACAGTCAGTTGAGAAGGGATTCATAACCAGAGTATATAAGGAGCTCAAACAACTCTTAGGAAAAAGTCAGATATTAAAATGGGCAAAAGCTTTCGATACACGTTTCTCAAAGGAAGTCATACGAATGGAAAACAAGGCCAGGCATGTCGAGTCATGCTTGTAATCCCAGCACTTTGGGAGGCCAAGGCGGGTGGATCACGACATCAAGAGATCAAGACCATCGTGGTCAACATGGTGAAACCACGTCTCTACTAAAAATACAAAAAATCAGCTGGGCGTGGTGGCGCGTGCCTGTAATCCCAGCTACTCAGGAGGCTGAGGCAGGAGAATTGCCTGAACCCAGGAGGCGGAGGTTGCGGTGAGCCGAGATCGCGCCATTGCACTCCAGCCTGGGTAGCAAGAGCGAAACTCCGTCTCAAAAAAAAAAAAAAAAAAAACAACAGCAGCCAGGTGTGATGGCTCATGCCTGTAATCCCAGTACGTTGGGAGGCCGGAGAGGGCAGATCGCTTGAGGTCAGGAGTTCAAGACCAACCTGACCAACATGGTGAAACCCCACCTCTACTAAAAATACCTAAATGAGCAGGGCACGGCGCAGTGCACACCTGTAATCCCAGCTACTTGGGCAGCTGAGGCAGCAGAATCACTTGAGCCTGGGAGGCAGAGGTTGCCATGAGCAGAGATCAAACCGAGGCTGTGCTCCAGCCTTGGCAATAGAGCAAGACTCTGTCTTAAAAAAAAAAAAAAAAAAAAAAAAAAAAGGCCGGGCGCGGTGGCTCAAGCCTGTAATCCCAGCACTTTGGGAGGCCGAGGCGGGTGGATCACGAGGTCAAGAGATCGAGACCATCCTGGTCAACATGGTGAAACCCCGTCTCTACTAAAAATACAAAAAATTAGCTGGGCATGGTGGCGCGTGCCTGTAATCCCAGCAACTCAGGAGGCTGAGGCAGGAGAATTGCCTGAACTCAGGAGGCGGAGGTTGCGGTGAGCCGAGATCGTGCCATTGCACTCCAGCCTGGGTAACAAGAGCGAAACTCCGTCTCAAAAAAAAACTTAACCCAGGCATGGTGCTGCATGCCTGTACTCCCAGCTACTCAGGAGGCTGAGGTAAGAGGATCACCTGAGTCCGAGAGGTCAGGGCTGCAGTGAGCCGTGATTGTGCACAGCACTCCAGCCTGGGTGACAGAGCAAGACCCTGTCTCAGAAAAAGGAAGCGGGGTGGGTAGTCGATTGAATTTTGAATTTTGTATTAGTTCCTTAGGACTACCATAACAAGTTACGTTAACCGGGTGACATCATGTATTCTCTCATAGTCCTGGAGGGGAGAAATCCAAAACCTAGCTATTGACAGGGTTTCACTCTGAAGCCTCTAGGTAAGAGTCTGTGGCTCTTCTAGCTTGTAGCAGAATCAGGCCTTCCTTGGGTTGTGGCAATTTCTGCAAACTTAGAATAGAATGGAATTTCCTCTGCCAGTATCTTAATAATCTAGGCAGACAATCTACTTAGAAGGGAAACATTAGAAGCGTTTTCTTTAAAGTCGGGATAAACACAAGGATTTTCTGTCCTTGTTAACATCTCATGCTGTATGGTAAGAGTTTTAGTGTCTAGAAAGAAAAACACATAGATAATGTATACATAT